GCTTCTAGATTGGCTTAAGAAATTTTTGCTTAATGTTTTCATTACTTTTTTTCCAAAAGCAATTCTAGTGTTTTCAGATTTTGCTTTTTCTCTAAGTTTGCTTATAATAAGTGACAAAATGTCTTATCTTATGAAATATGTTCCTGAAAAGTCTGTATGGGTACCGAACCACATTTTAAATTTATCATTATCTGTATAGTAACATCTACATATCATTTCTAAAGCAGAGTCCCTCTTGCCAAATAATTACCTCCTCCTTTTCCAGTGGGAAATATATGCTGGATTTATTTTTAGAGGAATATGACAGTTTATAGCAGATTTGCTTATTAAGGACCATTTTTAATTGACTTTAAAATAACTGAAAAATTGGATTTTTTAAAATGATCATGTCAATTTCATTTACCTGCTTTGAGTTTTAGAAGAAGGATAGTCTATATAGTTAATCAGTCCCTCTATTCATTAGCTGTGATAATGAGAAAACAATGTTTCTCTACATCCTTCCTTTTGGTTTCCTTCCCTTATCTATGTGTGTCTACTGTGAACTTACTGATCTCCACTCAGAACGATATGACTGTGTTGAGCCTCTCATGAGACTGGAAAAGGACCAGGAGACATGAGGGCAAAAATGATGGCAGAACTGGCAATATTAATGTTAAAGAATGTTTTATAAAATACATTTAAATATGTGGTTAAAAGCTATTAAATGCAAATCTTCAGCAGAAAAGAAAATAGCCTACCTGTCAGGCAGCTTCTGCATGTACTTATCAGCCTTCCCCTCAACTGAAAGTGAGATCAATGTGGAACAGATAAGGAAATTGTGAACAAAACTAAAAGGCTTTCCAAGGTTGTAAGTCAAGGTACATTGTAAGGACAGGCTATTTCCAGTCATTAGCTTAGCTCCCCAGAATTCTCTATTAAAATACTTGAAAATTCAACTGTTTTTATTTTTACCTTCCAACATAATCTTAAAATATTTCAATAGATGTTCTAGAATCATATGTTGGATCAAAGTTTTCATTTCTTTGTTTTTTTGAGACAGAGTCATATGGTAGTTGAGGCTGGTCTTGAACTTGCAGTCTTCCTGGCGAGTCCTCCCACCAAGTCCTCCCAAGTGCCTGGATTACAGGCATGCACCACTATACCTGGCTAAAAGTTTTGATTTCAAAAAAATTTTGTTGGGTTTCTTCTTTCAGGGGTATATTTTTTCATTGTTTTTGTTTTGCCTTAATTTCCACAATCTTTCCTAATTTAAATGGAGTCTAGAAAACTTGAATTCTCAAAAGTAAGTAGCCATTTCTTAAGGGAATAACATCCTTCTATCAACAAGGAGGCCAGGGATTTAGCTCAGTGGTTCCGCCACCTGCCTTGCAAGTGCAAGATCCTGAGTTCGATCCCCAGTACAAAAAAAAAAAAATCACTATAGTGAAGATTTGTCTTCTTCAGAGTCTAAAACGAGGAAGACAAGCAAAGTTTATGATTCCTGACTCCAAACTGTACACCCTAATGAGTGGTGAATTGCTTCATTTGGCTGTAACCAGCTGGAGCATTGCAGAACCCAGAGTTTGGAAAATTAAGCTCTGGAAGCAGACTTACTGCTAGGTTGAAATCATCCCTCTGCCTCTAAACAGGCTCTGAGCTCTGGACCAAGTTACTACAAATACTTATTCATAAATGGGATTAATAGTAGACTAAGGATTAAGTAATATCTGTCTCTCTATCTAAGGCCTTAAACATGGAAAGTACCCTATAAGCTTAATATTCAATAGTTGTTTCCAGGGAAACTATGAAGTAATCTACTCTATCAACTAGGAAAATCTGATTCTCTACAGAAAACCTCAAAGTCTTCTCCAGCCTTGTCATTTAGTTCTTATAAGCTAGAGCTAGTGGGAATTTCCCAAGTTTTTCAAAATCTCTTCTTTCTATATAGTTTCATATCTTGTTTAATGTCTGCATCAAATCTTCCTTTCATATTTATCATTGGTTTTTATTCTGTAGGCTCACAGCTGTGTTTCTTTTTTACTCTTTTATTGCCAATGTTCAGTAGTTAATACTGAACATAAAAGATTCCAGCTCTAAACATATTTTAAATATCTAGGTGTAGAAGTTTTTGTTTTTTGTATTTTTACTTTTATCCGTACATGTTTGCAGTATGTAATGATTATATTCATCCTGAGGAGTTGGTACATGTACATAACACATCTTAATTCTGTTTACTTCCCCTCCCCTTTGATGTTTTATTTGTGGTCTTATGCTCACTTGAAATTTTCCTTTCTTCTCTAGGTTTCTTGCATTTTCCGTATCTATGCTATTCCTTTCAGTGCTGTTCCATACAAATTCCACAGCTCAGTTTTAAGCAACTTATTGAGTGCCCTAATTACATACATGGTCCAGTCCATGGACCTGCATTAGACGGAGACTTTGTCTACTCCCTTTCTTCCTCTAAAGAACCAATAATCCAGCAATATTTTCCAGTGTTCCTCTATATAAACATACATGTATTAAGTCCTGGTCTCAAAAGAGAGCACTAGGTGAGATATTTCTGCTACTGTTTGGCTTGGGGGGAATTTTGTTTTCAGTTCCATATTCAGAAAGGTTGTCTTCAGATACTGCGATTTGTAAGAATTCCAAATTGGACTGGCTATGCAGGACACTATTGTGGTCAGGCTAAGGATTGAAAATGCTGTGGATAGAAGCTTGAATTCTTTGGAATTAGACATATTTAAGAGTGTAAGCTGGGTGTGGTAGCACATGTGTGTAATCCCAGCACTTGGTAGGCTGAGGCAGGAGGATTCCCATGAGTTTGAGGCCAACCAGGCCTACATGGTAAGTTCAAGACCAGCCTGGACTACATAGTGAGACCCTGTCTCAAAAAAAACAAAAAAAAAAAAAAAAAAAAGAGTGTATACTCCACTACTTCTGTATAAACTCAGACAAGTACTTCTCCAGCGCTCTTAAGTTTTTCATGAAGATTAAATAACAAATCTAGATGAAGGCCTTGGCTGAGTACCTGGAACCAAGAACATCGTAACATAAATGTCACCTATTGTTCACCATTATTCTTGCCTCCACCATCACTACTATTGTCTGCAGGGATTCTCCAGCTGGCCAGCAGATGCACCCACCTTATCTTGTGATCATTTAAAAATAAAAGTGGATGGGGATGTAGCTCAGAGGCAGAATATGTGCAAAGCATTGACAAGGCCCCAGGATCAGGCAGATGTTGAGCCACTGAGCTACATTCCTGGCCCTGTGGCCCGAGGTTCAATCTCAGCAGCAGAAAAATAAAAATAACAGTTTTAGAAAATGATCCTTTATTTTAATTTATAAATGAGAGAAATATATTGCTCAAATTTCTGGAGGTTGGAAGTCTAAGGTTAAGGCACTGGCAGACTGAGTATCTACTGAGGGCCTGTTCCCCATGGGCTACCTTCTGTGTCCTCTCGTGGCAGCACCCTCACCTCTTTTTTTTTTAATTTAAAAAATGTTATTAGTCCATGTTTGTTATACATAATGATTACATTCATTGTGGGGAATTGGTACATGTACATAACACATCTTAATTATTTATACTCCCCCGTCCTGCAAAAGTGTTCATTTTGGAGTGCAAATAGGTAGAGCTATTTTGGAGGGAAATTCAGCAATATCTACCAGAATTTTAAATGTGCCATTTGATCCTCCAGGACCTCTTCTAGGAATATTTTTCAGAGAAATATTTGCAACTTGGTGTTTGTGGTACTTTCAAAATGGCCTAATTGTCTATGCATATCAGAGGTTAAATTCCCTGAGAAATAGATTCTGAGAGGGACAGTCTGTTTTGAGCATAGAAAATTTATTAAGGATACCCTTTGGGTCCATGTCTATGAGAAAATGAAAGAAGTAGAGAGTAACAAAGATGATAACCCCAGATTAGAGTTTGCCACATGCTACTAGGAAGCAGCATGACTTTGACCTAGGCACATCTCTTTGGATAAAGGCAATTTTTTGAAGGGTCTCAGCTCAGGAACATCAACTGCCAGCACTTTAGTTGAAAGATCAAATGCCTCATTTCTGAAGAGAACACCACAGCATCTACCTCACTGTTGTTTAAGATCCATCCATACCAGGGAATCTGAGCTGCTTTTAAGAAAAAAATGGGTCTCAAAAGCACCGAGGAGCAGAGCACCCCCCTCCCCCGGCACCAAGGAGGTGAACCTCTAGGGCCACTGTACTACCCTCCACGGTGCCGAGGAGTAGAACCCCCCTCCCAGTGCTAAGGAGGTGAGCCTCTCGGGCCGCCGAACCACCACCCCTGAGCACCGAGGAGCAGAGCCCACCCCCAGCGCCAAGAAGGTAAGCAGTGTGGATGCCAGCACCCCCACCCCCGAACCTGTGGGTTTACTAAGCCACTACCCGGATCCACACTGCAGAGTTGCAGGGGTCATAAAGGAAACTGTTCTGAGCTTGAGAAGATAGAGCAGAACTGAACAACAGAAAGAAGGCCTCTCTGAGGCTCCTTGATGAAAATTAAAGCCCACCAGAAAAGTGAAGAAAATCCCTGCAATAAAGGCACACCAGACTACCTTAGTTGGGGGAGCAGCAGGGTGGACCAGAGCAGCGCACCTGCAAGCAGATCCCAACCAGGTCTCCACCCCAACCACAGAGGCTGGAGGACACTGGCCCAAGCCAAGGGCCCATCTGGAAAAGAGCTGTACAGGCACACAAGCAACAGTCAGAGGTCCACCCCAATACCATCAGTGCACAAGACCCTAGCCAGAAGTGTGCTCACACAACAGGAACTGGGGAGCACAGCCCCCAGCCAAAGGCCCTCCCAAACAACAGCTACATAAAGGCCCTAGCCAGAGGCACACCTAGATACCATCCCAAGAGTGCACAGGCCCCAACCAGAAGCCCACACAGACAACAGGTAAGCTCAGGGATTCAGAAGGTCACCTTTCTGAACGCAGGAATTAGTGTACTGGTGAGCAGTAGCCAAAAGGCTCTTGGGTGGCTTGCTGAGAAATGAAGACTACTGGATGAGCAAAAAGTTGCCTCAACAAAGGCACAGCAGGCTGCATCTATTGAAATGAGAAGACACATAAACAAGTCCTAAAACCAGACTTCCAGATCACCTACAGCAACCCCAAAGGGAAATGAGATGGAACAATCTGATACTCAACCACCTGCACTCCCTGAACTGGCAAC